GGGGGGGGGGGGGGGGGGCGACCGAGACTCAGCGGCGGTTGCTTTCCAGCGGGCAGGCCCCAGGGCCCCGGACAGAGTCTCGCTGCGGCCTCGCGAGCCCGGTGGCGTGTCTGGCCCATTTCCTAACGCGACTGCCTGATGGATCCGTGATTGGAGCCGCAGATACTGGAGCTCAGGTCGCCGGTCTTGGCCACTCGTCGCCCCCCCGGAGCAGCGCGGTCCTGTCCAGGCGCGCGGCCCGGGAAGGGGCCCCCGTGTCTGCAGGTCGTTAGTGGCTTCGGTGTGGAGAGCAGATCTGCAGGCAGGACGGAGCCCAAAGAAAGAGTGTGTTTTCAGTCACGTGGACCCGGGCCGGTCTACGTTAGCAGGAGTCCACCTCTCCCCCCGGGGCTGGGGCGGGGTGAGGGGGTGTTGGCCTCAGCTCCGGGCGTGCCGAGACTGGGGAGTTGCGGTGGGAAACGCTTCCTGAGCTCACGCATCTGTTTGTGCTGACAGACCGCTCGCTGAAGGAAATTCACTCCCCAAGTGTTTTGTGTGTGTGTGTGTGTGTGTGTGTGTGTGTGTGTGTGTGTGTTTATTTGAATTAAAAAAATTTACATATAGTCAAACTCACTTTTGGGTGTACATTTCATCGAGTTTTGACAAATGCCTAGTCTTGTGACCAGCCCAACATCAAAATGCAGAACAGCGCCATCACCCCAAGTTCCTTCCTGCTGTCTCTTCGTCGGCATCCCCGCCCCCGTTTCTAACTCCCCCAACCGCTGAGCTGTTCCCCATTCCTAGTTTTGAATGTCCTATTTGGTCTTCGGTCTGGCTTAGTTCTCCGAGCACCGTGCATTCAGGACTCTTCCATTTTGCGGCTGAGGGTACAGACATACAGGTCAGAAAAGTGTGTCTCTAGGTTGCAACCTGAAAGATTCAAATCCTATTTTTAAGTCATGAGAAAAATTTCAGAACTCCAGCTCGTCAGAAAATGTACACAGTACAGAACCTCAGCAAAATCCCTTCAGGAGTGCCGTCATGCCTGTTCTGTGCACACACACACCGGTAGTTTCATTTTTGTGTGTTATTTTGGTAACGAGGTTACAGTGCGTATGTCCTCATGCCTTTTCACTTGGTCCTCCTGGCTCACTCCAAGATCTTGGAGATCTTTCCACGATGGCGTATTCTTGGAAGGCACCGGGCTTGCTCGGGCACCACTCCGGGCGCACCCATTTGTGGGATCCCCTGTGGGCCCGGGTTCCCTCTGCCCTCTCGCTGTGTGACTGTCTCTGTCCTGGCTTTTGATCTGGCTTCACCCACACCAGCTTCTAGAGAAGTCAGGACTGCACAGGCCGCATGCTGGGAGGTTGGTGGGTAGGTGCTCTCTAAGATGGGACCGCCATGTGAGAGCGCCCGGCCGGGCTGGTGTGGCTCATTGGTTGAGCGTCGACCTGTGAACCAGAAGGCTGCCCGCTTGGAGGCTCCTTGCATGCACACTGGGCTCCGCGCTGGCTCTGCAGGGCATTGGCCGAGTCCACGGGCACTGCTCTCACTGCGCAGTGTGTGGAACAGGAAGTTGTGATGATAGGAGGAAGTTGGTAATGAAAGGAAAAACGCTGTATTTTCCCCACAAAATACCAGGTAGATTGGAAATTATTTGCTACATTTTGAGTTGGAAGCATGCGGAACTGATCGGCAGTTGTCAGGAGTGTCTGTGAGTGCCAGTGAGGTCCCTGTGGTCCCACTGCGTTCCTTGCCTGGGCTCCTGCTGATTCACCATCAGTGACGAGAATGGTTGCAGGCTCCTGCTCCTGCAGGCTTCCTTCTCCTTTCTGTCTCAGTGTCTGCTTGGTATGGTTGGCAGCCTCTTGTTAGATGCATCCACACTGAGCACTGCCAGCGGCCAGGGATCTGATCAGTCATAGCCACCTAAGTAAGCCGCCATAAACAGAGCTGCTCCGGGGTCCCGTTCGGGCCGGAGAAGCATTCAGAGGGAGGCAGGCTGCAGTTGCCGAGTCCTGTCCCCTGGAGATGGCACTCGTGTTGAGATACCATCGAGCTCTGCGTCTGTGCTGCTCCACGCAGCCTTGGGGCTGTGCTCTGCTGACAGTGCCCTCCCTGTGGCACCTTCACCCCAACCCTCCTCTTTGCGGTCGCTGTCGGCTGACCTGTGCCAGGAGGCCTAGTGTATAACCTGCTGGCAGCAATGTCCGGCCCTCCCACCAAAGAGCCTCTGAAGACAGTGGCCCCAGGTGGGAAGGGGGCCAGGAAGTGAGACCATGTGAGGTGGCCCATGTGCCCGCATCCTGCCACTCCTGGAGGCCAGCACGGCTGCATGGTGATGCCCTTGCTGGTGAGCCCTGACCAGGACAGTCAGTGCCCTGCCCTGCCATCCACACAGCACAGGCTGCTTCGTGTTGTGTTCCAGGCCAGGATGGCGGCCCAGGTGACGCTGGAGGACGCGCTGTCCAACGTGGACCTGCTGGAAGAGCTGCCTCTGCCCGACCAGCAGCCCTGCATTGAGCCCCCACCGTCCTCCCTGCTCTACCAGGTGGGTGCCGGGGGACGCATGTAGACCGCCTGTGACCTGACCTCCTGAGAGGCGGGCCTCCACGTGATGGTCTTTCTCTTCCTTTCAGCCAAATTTCAACACAAACTTTGAAGACAGAAATGCATTTGTCACCGGTATTGCAAGATACATTGAACAAGCAACTGTCCATTCTGGCATGGTAATCCCCCCCACACCCCCTGTGTATTTATTTTCAACTGGGGTAATGGCACATCTGAGTGGCAGGGGTCCCCTTTTTTCTATCACCCTGAAAGGGTGCCTGCTGAGGAAGAAGAGAAGAGTGAATGAAATGCCTTGTTCGTTTTTTAAAAAGCCTTTGTTTTTCTTATTATAAAACACCCAGTGACCCGGTGCACAAAATTTGTGTGTGTGGGAGGATGTCCCTCAGCCCTGCCTGCACCCTCTCCAATCTGGGACCCCTCAGGAGATGTCTGACTGCCAGACATCCCTATTACAATCCGGAACCGCTGGTTCCTAACTGCTCGCCTGCCTGCCCGATCGCCCCTAACCACTCTGCCTGTCAGCCTGCTCGCCCCCAACTGCCCCCCTTGCCGGCCTGCTCGCCCCCAACTGCCCTACCCTGCTGGACTCATGGCCCCCTACTGCCCTCCCAGTCTGACCTGCTCGCCCCCAACTGCCCCCCCCTCCTGGCCTGATTGCCCCTAACTGCCTCTGCCTTGGCCCCACCACGATGGCTATGTCTGGAAGGTCTCCTGGTCTAATTAGCATATTACCCTTTTATTAGTATAGATACCTGATCTTTCTGAAAATTTATCATCGACAGCCCAGAGAGAATTTTGAGGAAGCCCATTTTCTCTCCCTCTCATGTACCTGCACACATGCACCCCCTTGTGATACAGATGGTGTAAATGAAGTGCATTGTTATAATTGTGTATTTTATGACTTCACATTTTGTAAATGTCCACAATGTAACTCAATGTAACTTTTTTTATCCTCACATGATGACATATTCATTGATTTTTAGAGAGAGAGAGAGAGAGAGGAGAGAGAGTCACATTGATGAACTGCCTCTCTTAGACTCCCTGGCCGGGGATCCAATGCACAACCTGGGTATGTGCCCTGACTGGGAATAGAACCGGTGACCTTTGGGTGTATGGGAGGAGCGGTGTGGTCGTCATGGCCGCACCACTGCATCAGGGACACCAGCCTCCTCACAGCTGTCTCTTACTCAGCAGGCAGGTCCTGGTGCTTGTCTGTCACAGGCAGTCGGGATAGCTGATCCCTGTAGTTGTTAGCGATGTGGCATCTCCTTTGCTAGGGATGCTCCCTGCGTGCCTTACATTTGCCATGCGCCCCTTGCAGAACGAGATGCTGGAAGAGGGCCAGGAGTACGCCGTCATGCTGTACACCTGGAGGAGCTGCTCTCGGGCCATCCCACAGGTACCCGCTGTGCTGCCCCGCCCAGCCAGGCCACGCCCCTCGTGACCTCCGCCCAGCTCAGCAAGACCACACCCCGACCTGCACAGCCCAGCCCCTCCGGAATTCTACCCAGCAGAAGTCCGGGACCCCCAGCGCTAGCAGCGCCTTCCCTCCCTCATTTCTAGCTGGTTGAAGCCTTTCTTTATGTCATACCCGTTTATTCCCAGGTGAAATGTAATGAGCAGCCTAACAGAGTGGAAATTTATGAGAAAACCGTGGAGGTCCTGGAGCCTGAGGTCACAAAACTGATGAATTTTATGTACTTCCAGGTAAGACAGCAGAATGATCCTAGGGTTTGGTGCAGAGGTTAGGACAGTGCCAGTGTCACTGTCCCCAGGAACTCAGTACAGCACCTGCGTGTGAATTAAAGCAACCAGATGCTTCAGAGACAAAGGGAACTGAGCCTCGGACAGGTGAAAGCGTTGCCTGCTCTTTCAGAATAAACACTTTTGTTTCACTTCTCTCCTTGAGAGCCAATTTGTGTTTTCTTCACGGAGACTGCATTATTTATTTTTCGTTTTCAGAGAGGGATGCAGAATTCTGTATTTTATTTACTTATTAATGTTTAAAATATATTTTTATTGATCTCAGAGAGAAAGGGAGAGGGAGAGGGAGAAAGAAACCAATGATGAGAGAGAATCATTGATCGGCTGCCTCCTGCAGGCCCCACACTGGCGATCGAGCGTGCAGCCTGGGCATGTGCCCTGACTGGGAATTGAATCTGGGACCCTTTCTATTCATCCCGTTTTTCAGGTGTTTCCTTTCTCAAACTCACCCTCATTGCTTGCTCAGGAGGTCCTCACCTAAGCTCCTTCTGGCTCCTTGGTTAGGAAAAGTGGCTGCAGGGAGAGGACTTCATTTTTTTAATTTTAATTTTTTGGTTAATCTTCACCCGAGAATATTTTTCTCATTTATTTTTAGAGAGAGTGGAAGGGAGGGGGTGGGAAGAAAGAGAGAGAAACATTGATGGGTTGACTCCCACACGGGTCCCAACTGGGGGTGGGTTTTGAACCTGTAACCCAGGTACATGCCCTTGACCAGGAATGGAACCCATGGCCCTCCAGTATGCAGGCCCAGTATGCAGGCCAACGTGCTAACCACTGAGCCCGCCTCCAGGGTGGGTGGGTCTGGACACTAGTTAAAGCCAGATGTGGAGCTGTCCCTGCATTGGCAGGGACTTTCCTGACCAGAGAAATGCCATCGAGCGTTTTTGTGGGGAGGTGCGGCGCCTGTGCCACGCGGAACGGAGGAAGGACTTCGTGTCGGAGGCCTACCTGGTCACGCTGGGCAAGTTCATCAACATGTTCGCAGTGCTGGACGAGCTGAAGAACATGAAGTGCAGCGTGAAGAACGACCACTCGGCCTACAAGAGGTGAGCCTAGCGCTGCGCCTGAGCCCCCGTGGAGAGCGCCTGGGAGCACCTGCTGCCTGCACACAGTGGGTGTGCGGAAGTTACTGCAGCTGGCTGGCGGTGGTTGCTGGCCAGGCTCAGGCCTGTTTTGATGGTGTTGTTTGTTAATCCTCGCCTGAATCTATTTTTCCATTGATTTTTAGAGAGAGTGAAAGGGAGAGGGGAGAGAGAGAAACATGGATGTGAGAGAGACACATCGATTGGTTGTCTCCTGCATGCTCCCTGACCAGGGCCAGGGATTTTGCCTGGAACCAAGGTAGGTATGTGCCTTGACTCACATGTTTGTTGAGCTCTCAGCACCCTTGGGTGGCAGAAGCACACAAGACCATTTCCTCCTCACAGAGCCTTGGGGTCACTGCACGGGCGTTGGGCTCCGTGAGCGTGTTGGTGAGGGGCAGGTGGGCTCTGCAGCCTGAGGGTGCCACCCCTAGTCACTCTCTGCTCAGGACAGCCCGGTCAGGTGACGGTGCCCAGCAGGGGGCGGAGCTGGCCCTGTGGAATGCTACAGTGAGGTCACCTGGAGCTTCCTGGTTTCCCAGACCCGCTCTCCTCGGGGCGGTTTTCTCTTTGAATGCGGAGAAGATGATTGGGAAAGGCGGGCATGGCGAGGCGTGTGCTTCTGGAACACTGTGTGGGTGGCTGGTGGCAGGGAGGGGGGTGGGCAGTCAGGGCAGAGCCAGCTGTCTACGGACAGACTTTCTCTAGAGTCTGTCCCCAGTCCTGCGGAAGGCATGACTGGTTAGAACAAGATGACAAGATGCTGGCTGATGTTGCCTCTTGCCACACAAGAAATCCGAGCTATAAAATTCAATTGGAAGAGTTTTTACTTTGCATGTGAATGGGCTGTAGTTACATTGCCTCTGAAATCATACGTCTGCTGCTGTGTCTTTAAAATGAAATTGACATCAGATGGGGTGCATCATCGATATGCTGCCTCCTGCCCCCGACTGGGGAATCTAGCCCACAACCCGGGCATGTGCCCTGACCGGGAATCCAACCATGACCTCCTGGTTCATGGGTCCACCCTCCACCACGGAGCCGCCCCAGCTGGGCTCTTCTTTTTTTAAATCATGAAGCATGTTTTCTTTTTTTCCTGCTTACAAAGGGCTGCTCAGTTTCTACGGAAAATGGCAGACCCGCAGTCCATCCAGGAGTCGCAGAACCTGTCCATGTTCCTGGCCAACCACAACAAGATCACACAGGTGAGGCTCGAGCTCTCCTGCTCCGGCTGATGGGGTGCATGGCTGGGGTTCCAGGGACAGAGGACCTGGAGCAGGTGGTGGCATGCGGCTCCCCTCTTCCAGTCTCTGCAGCAACAGCTTGAAGTCATCTCTGGCTACGAAGAGCTCCTAGCGGACATCGTGAACCTGTGCGTGGATTACTACGAGAACAGGATGTACTTGACGCCCAGCGAGAAACACATGCTTCTCAAAGTACGCGGGTGGGGATGGCTGTTGAGGGCCCCACTGAGGGAGGGACACAGGAGGGTGGAACAGCCAGGGTCTGGCCAACAGGCTGTGCTTTGTCTGCGATCCTTTCGTCAACCTCTTTTTAAAAAAATATATATTTTTATTGATTTCAGAGAGGAAGGGAGAGGGAGAGAGAGATAGAAACATCAATGATGAGAGAGGACCATTGATGCTGCCTCCTGCCTGCCCCCTGCTGGGGATCGAGCCTGCAACCTGGGCATGTGCCCTGACCGGGAATGGAAGCATGACCTGGTTCCTAGGTCGACGCTCAGTCACTGGGCCAGGGCTAAAATGCCTTTTCTGGAGAAAGAGTGAAGTGTCATTTCTGTAGGTGCTTGTGGGCAATTAACCTTGTGGGTCTGAGCTTTCTATGCCACTTTGTGCTTTTCAGGTCATGGGATTTGGTCTGTACTTGATGGATGGGAGTGTCAGCAACATCTATAAACTAGATGCCAAGAAAAGAATAAACTTGTCCAAAATCGACAAGTTTTTCAAGGTGAGTGAGTGACATTTCTATAGACGTGTGACCGTGACGGGTCCTGGGACATTGTGCCTGCTCCCTCCCCGCCTCCCCACACGGGCTCTGCCGGGCTGTGGTCTCGAATGAAGGGGACCACGCCCTGCGTCCCTTCTCTGGCCGGTCACTCAGTTACACTCGTCCCTGTGGGTGCCCACGGCGGCCGTCCTTAAGCTTCATCGTGGGGTCGCCATCGGATGGTCACTCCGGCGTCTGTTGATCCATTCTGTCGTGATGGGCATGTGGTGGTTTCTGGGTTCTCGCCGGTGTGAACGGGGCTGCTCAGATGTAGAGACATCTGCACATTTCTGTTGGACGTGAACCCAGGGATGGGATTGGGGTCATGAGCATAAAGGTTTCCAGTGTTTGTGGATGCAGCCTAACGGTTTCCCATGGGCCTGCGCTGCTTTGCAGTGAGTGAGCGTTCCCCTTGTTCCGCTTCCTCGCCAGCCCCTTTGGAGGGGGGCAATCTGAAGGCTGGGCGTGTTGTCGCGCCCTTTGGGCCTCTGGTGCCTTCGCCCTTTGTGTGCTTCATGAAACGTCACTGACAGTCCTTGGTTTCCCCTGTTCGGTTGTGTCTGCACGTATTCTAGGTGCATGTGCCCCAAAATGCAGCCATTCCCCTACGTGGCTCTCCTTTCACTTCCCTAAAGGTGTCCTTTCATGAATAGAGGTTCTTCATTGTATTGTTATCCAGTGTGTCCACCTTTAATATCTACTTTAGGGGATGTTTCCATACAGCAGGCTCACGTGATTTTCTTGTGTTAGCTTTTGGACACAACACCGCTCCTTTTCCATCTAGACCTATGGTTTCCCTTAGAACTGGTCTCTGTATGGCGTGAGGTAGGGGTTGGCATTCTTCTCCCTCCCTCTCTCTCTTTCTCTCTCTCTTTCTCTCTCTCTCTCTCTCTCTAATATATGTTTATTGATGTCAGAGAGGAAGGGAGAAGGGAGTGATAGAAACATCAATGATGAGAGAGAATCATGGATCGGCTGCATCCTCCAGGCCCCCTACTGTGGATCAAGCCCGCAACCCAGTGCCCTTGACTGGAATCGAACCTGGGACCATTCAGTACACAGGCCGATGCTCTATCCACTGAGCCAAACCAGCTAGGGCTCATTGTGATTCTTTTAATATCTTTATTGATTTTAGAGAGAGAAGAAGGGAGAGGGAGAGAGAGAGAGAAACATCAATGATGAGAGAGAATCATCGATTGGCTGCCTCCAGATCACCCTCTACTGGGGATCGAGCCTGCAACCCAGGCATGTACCCTGTTAGGAATCGAACCTGCGACCCTTTTGTGCATGGAACCACGCTCGACCAACTGAGCCACACTGGCCAGGGCTCGGGCTTGACGTTCTTGGATTTTTCCTCCATATGGATATCTAGCCGACCTGTCCTTTCATTGCAGAGAGCATCTTTTCCCACATTGTTCTGTGTTTCGTGGGTCATAAACCAGGTGTCTGTCTGTGGCTCTGTCTTAGGTCCTCTGTCCTGCCCCACTGGTCTCCATCCATGCTCCAAGGCCACACTGTCCTAGTGGCTGTGGCTTCCCAGTAGAGTAGGTCTGCTCTCCAGGAAGTCTTCAGTTATGTTCTTCAAGACTGTCGTGCGTATCATCCCTTCACCTTTCAAAATGCATTTTAGAACTGGCTTGTGATCGCCATACATGCTCACCACTCATAAAACACCTTCTTCTTGGAATATTGTTTGGGATTCCATTGCATGTATAGATTCATTTAGGGAGAATGGACTTTGTTAATTACCAAGTCTTCCAATACGTGAACCTGATATATTTCTCCATTCACTTAAAACTTTAAAATGTTCTCCGAAAAAATAAAATAAAATAAAATGTTCTCCGGAGTTTTTGATGGTATTTTTGCTTAGAGGTATTGTCTATATTTTGTTTAATGTATTCATACATAATCCTTTTATTTTTGGATGCTTTTGCAAATTCTTTAAATTTTCATTTTCTAGTTGTTGCTAGTATGTAGAAACGCAGCTGAATTTTTTATGACCATAGATCTAGCCAAAGTCAGGTTACTTTCCATATTTAAAATGGTTTAAATAATTTCATGAATGTTGGTACTTGTATTTTGTTCTTGAAGTGAATGTAGAACAAAAAGTGTTCACCACTTTTTTTGCACTAAATGGTTTGCAGAGAATGCTTTTAACCAACAGTAACTAACGGCTATTCACTCACGTAATTATACATTTGGTCACTAACAGACATGATCACCCTATTTTTTTCCTTTGAATACAGCAGCTCCAGGTGGTCCCGCTGTTCGGTGACATGCAGATAGAACTCGCAAGATACATCAAGACCAGCGCCCACTACGAGGAGAACAAATCTCGGTACGAGCGTGAGCTGCCCGATTAGAATGTTCTGAGACGTTCCTATTGTCGTTGTTTTGTGTTTGTTTTTCTTAAGAGAGAGGGAGAGATAGACAGAAACATCGACGTGAGAAAAAAACATCTATTGGCTGCCTCCCCTACATACACCAACTGAGGATCAAACCCACAACCTAGACAGGATCTGTTTTCCATTGCAGGGACGGATGGAGGGAGAGGGAGAGGAGAGAGAGAGAGAGAGAGAGAGAGAGAGAGAGAGAGAGAGAGAGACCTGTGTGAGGTAGACACATCAATGGGTTACCTCCGAATGCTCCCCAATCGGACCTGGGCTTTAACCTGCAACCTAAGTACGTACCCTTGACCAGGAATTGAACCCACAGCCGTTTGGTATGCAGGCCGATGCTCTGACCATTGATGCACACTGGCCAGGGCTAATTTGATCTTTCCATCACAGTTGACATTCAGTGTGACTTTGCGTTGTTTTCCGGGGTGCAGCATGGTGGTGACCTAATCATATGCTTCACAAAGGGGTCCCCCTGATATGTCCAGCACCCGCCTGGCACCACACACAGTTATCACAGCGTGACTGACAGTATCCCCTGTGCTGCCCTTGGCATCGCCGTCAGGAAGCAGTTTGGTGACGAAGGAGAAATTACAATGACTTTGTACGAACAGCCTCCGGTGACCCGCTCCCTCTGCAGGTGGACGTGCACGTCGTCCAGCAGCAGCCCCCAGTACAACATCTGTGAGCAGATGATCCAGATCCGAGAGGACCACATGCGCTTCATCTCCGAGCTGGCGCGCTACAGCAACAGCGAGGTCGGCAGCCACCCTGGGGGCCTTACTGCGCATGCAGGACCCACCTCAGCTACAGCCGTCACACAGCTTAGAAAAAACTAGGTTTACCCCTCACAGTCCGGCAGGGCACATGGCCTGGGGGTCACACACGAGATCACAGGTGGAGAGAGCGGCCAGGAGGGGCTGTGGGGTGTAGGGTTCAGCAGGTGCCCTCTTCATCAGTGAACTGCAGACTTAAGGGGTTAGGGCAGCAGGGAAGGGCCCTGGACCCTTCAGTGCTCAGGCTCAGGCTCAGGCTCTAACCACTAGGGAACTGGCCAGGGCCCAGATGGATCGTGTGCCCCATCGTGTCACATTCTGGGCCAGGGCCCTTGGGTGGGTTCCTAGAGCAGCTTTGATGGGACGGGGGAGACTCGGCCAGATTTCTACATGTGGGTCGACTTCTCGATGCTCCTTGATGCTCCAGGTTGTCACAGGCTCTGGCCGCCAGGAGGCCCAGAAGACAGACGCCGAGTACCGGAAGCTCTTCGACCTGGCGCTGCAGGGCCTGCAGCTGCTGTCCCAGTGGAGCGCGCACGTGATGGAAGTGGTAGGCGCCCTTGCTCGCTTGCCAGGAGGCGGGAACACCGGGAACCTGCAGAGCGCCCTCCCCTCCCCACCCCCCCAGACTCATCAAGATATGGACTCAGTGATATTTTTTCTGCATTAACTTTGGTTCTTGGATCAAGAACAAATTGGCTTTTTATTTTGGGGCCAGAAATAAGGTTATATGTCAATTTAAATGGAAGACAATTCAACATACGTTTCATGCACCTGTGTTACAAATCAATGGCCTCATCTGTTGGCATTAATAGCATTAATAGCCTTTAAATTGTAACGTTACGATATTTTTAAAAATATATTTTTATTGATTTCAGAGAGAGGAAGGGAGAGAGAGAGAGAGAGACATCGATGTGATAGTGAAACATCGACCAGCTGCCCCTTGTACGCCCCAATCCTGCTCATTGCTTTCCGCCTGGTGCCCTTCCATTCCTGGCTTGTCCTTCCCACTGCCCTGTCTGTCTGCCTGTCCTTCCCACTGCCCCTGTCTGTCTGCCTGTCCTTCCCACTGCCCCTGTCTGTCTGCCTCCTACACGCCCGGCAGCCGAGCACTGCAGTCTGTTCCCCTGTCTCTCTGACTAGTATTCGTGGAAACTCGTGCACCCGACGGACAAGTACTCCAACAAGGACTGCCCCGACAACGCTGAGGAGTATGAGCGCGCCACGCGCTACAACTACACCAGCGAGGAGAAGTTCGCCCTCGTGGAGGTGCGTCTGTCTGTTGTCTCTGCCGCCATCGGGAATGAACCACCTACATTTGTCATTGCTTCTCTGTGGGGCAGCCCTTTTGCATCTGTCGCAGTCAAAACAGAATAAAATGGGCCGTGGTTACTGATCTCTGCCAACAGCTCCCCCGGGGTGGATCCAGGGGGACAGGAAGGGAGAGAGAGAGAGAGAAACATCGACCAGGAATCATCAGTCCTGAGTGGGAATCGAACCCATGATCTTGTGTATGGGATGATGTTCCAAACAACTAGCCACACTGGCTGGGGCAGAATTTCTTTTTGTCATTAGCTAATAGGAACGTCTCATCTATTAACAAGGCAGCACGTCCATTACACAAATCCGAGCAGGAGCACAGCGGTTGGGAGAGGCCGGCGTGTGCCTCTGCCGTCACCCCCAGAGCCCGTGTCCCCGCAGGTGATCGCCATGATCAAGGGCCTGCAGGTGCTGATGGGCAGGATGGAGAGCGTGTTCAACCATGCCATCCGGCACACGGTCTACGCCGCCCTGCAGGACTTCTCCCAGGTCACGCTGCGGGAGCCGCTGCGGCAGGCCATCAAGAAGAAGAAGAACGTCATCCAGAGGTCAGCGCCCGGCGCTGGGGGCAGGACCGGAGGGTTGGTGTAGGTTAATGTGGCCGCAGTCAGTATTTCCTTTTGTGTACATACTAGAGGCCCTGCACACAATTCGTGCAAGGTCGGCCTTCACAGCCCCATCCCCGCCCCCCGCCCGCACCCACCTTGACAGGCCTGGAGCCAATGCGTGTCATACTGTGGTCCTCCGGGTGGTCGTTCTGCTGTTGGGCCATTTGGTCGATATGCATATTATGATTTTATTATAGACTAGGGGCCCAGTGCATGAATTCGTGCACCTTTAAAGGAACTGTGGCCACAAGGCACAGGGGCAGGTCTCATCCCATCCTCCGCGCTGTGCCCACCCCTACCACCACGGCCCCCAGTCCCCTGTCCCCTGTCTGCCAGCAGCCCCGCTCCCGCTGCTGCCGCTCCCATGTGCTGCTGGCACCGGCCCCACTCGTACCCGCTGATGGTGTGGAGCGATCGGGGCCAATGCTAGCAGTGGGTGTGAGTGGGCCGGCGCCGGCAGCAGGTGCCAGAGGCGGCTGCTGGTCCCAATCGCCCCTCAGGAGCAGGGGTAGGCGGAGAACCCCTGAGGGACGATCAGGGCCGGCAGTCGCCGCTGGCACCCACTGATGGCGCCGGGCTATGGGGCCAGCGCCAGGCACCAGCAGCGAGTGCAAGCAGGGCCGACGCCAGCAGCGGGTGCGAGCAGCTGCTCCGGCGCCGAAAGCAGGTATGAGTGGCGGGCAGGACGGTGGCGTGCAGGATGGTGGCGTGCAGTAGCAAAGAATTTTCGGTAACCACCAGAGGCTCGTCCCGATGACAGTTGGTCTGGCGCCCCCACTCACTGCTCCACCATCCCGCTGCGGCCATGCCCGGCATGTTCTGCACGCCCCCTGGTGGTCAGTGCATATCATAGTGCCTGGTTGTTCAGTTATTACGCCATTCAGTCTATTTGCATATTAGGGTTTTTATATATATGTTTTTATTGGTTTTAGAGAGAGAGGAAGGGGGAGAGAGAGAGGAACATCCATTGGCTGCGTCCTGCACGCCTCACACTGGGGATGGAGCCCACAGCCTGGGCATGTGCCATGATCAGGAATAGAGCCATGACCTCTGGTTCATGGTTGACACAGCCACAGAGCCACTGCAGCCGGGCAACAATCTGTTTTTAAAATTTCCCGTGGAGCCGGGTGAGCGTCCGGTGAGATGCTGTGGTGGCCAGTGGCCCCCGGCGCCAGCGCTCGTGCCGTGTTTAGTGTCCTGCAGGCCATCAGGAAGACCGTGTGCGACTGGGAGACGGGGCACGAGCCCTTCAACGACCCAGCCCTGCGGGGCGAGAAGGACCCCAAAAGCGGCTTCGACATTAAAGTGCCTCGCCGCGCCGTGGGACCCTCCAGTACGCAGGTTCTCGTCCCTGGTCCCCCGTCCCTGCCTGTCCCCCAAGAGGGCCAACCCCGAGCGGGCGGTCGGGAAGCGCGGTCAGGAGTGAAATACGGTCACCTCTACGCTCGGACAAATCCCGTCTTGCCCGTGTCTCTCCGGCCCCTCTGTCCGCGGCCGCGTGGGTCCGAGTGCTGCCCGGGACAGCGCAGGGACTGCCCGGCTCGCTCACTTGCATGCAGACCTTAACCTGACGGCCCAACGCCCGAGTCCAAAATACGGGTGACCGTCTGTCTGTATTCACGCTGCTTCTCGGTGGCTGTTTCGGGCGTGGGAACGATTTTCATGTTGTGCTGAAGAGACAGCTTGGAGAGGTTTAAAAATGCAGCTTTGTGCCCGGAATTGAGTCACCACGGCTTTGTTTCTCTTGTTCGGCCCCCGGAGCAGCTTTCTCCTGACTCACACCTGCCCCCGCCCTCTGCTTTCTCCTCCCGTGGGGGCCCGGCCCTCCTGCCGGTCACCAGGATCCCCAGCAAAGCACGTTGCTGGCTGTGAATGGGACACTCGGTACCTGGGAGGAAGCCCCGTCCGGTCGTCCGTGGTGTGTGCCCCGCGTCCCGTGTGTGTCCCCCTCTGCGTGCCGTGTGACTAACGCTCTCTCCGCCTCTCCCGTGTCTGTCCGTGTCTAGCTGTACCTGGTGCGCACCATGGCAGAGTCCTTGAGCTCCGCCGAGCTACTGCGGCAGCTCAAGTCTCTGGGCATGGAGAGGCTGGTGCATGTGGTTCACGCGTTTCTGAGGCAGTCCTACACCTATCCGCCTCTCTTAACCTTCGGGGGTAAGACATCGTTCGTTTCCCTTGCTGACGTTCAGGGCACGGAGAAGTGCTCCTTCACAGGTCCTTCCTCCCACGCAGCAGCCCGCGGCCACTAGATGGGCGCCCAGACCCCTTAGCGGAGCCGGGGAGCCCGGCCAGGTCAGGGCCTCTGAGCCGCCCTCCTGGGGCCGAGCAGCGTCCGGTGCGACTAATGCTGCCTGTGTGTTTTCTCCCACCAACGTTTCCCTGGATCACGCAGCTTTACATGGTGAGAACCATGCTAGAGTCCCTCATTGCAGACAAAAGTGGCTCCAAGAAAACCCTGAGAAGTAGCCTTGAGGGGCCCACCATATTGGACATAGAAAAATTCCATCGAGAGTCCTTCTTCTACACTCACTTGATAAATTTCAGCGGTAAGAGACACTGCTGACCACGCCGGCCCAGCATGCTCTAACACCGCTAACACTGTCCAGAACGCTTCCGCCTGCTGACCGTCCCCGCTGAGGTCCCCGCACGCACCCGCACCAGGTGGTGAGGTGTGCTGACCCTGTGGCCACCTTCACCTGCTGCTGTGAACGCATGGCCGGCCGGGTGCCCCTCCGAGCGGCATGGCCTTTGGAAGGGTGAGGGCCGTGGGGCCGTAGCTGGCCCTTCAGCCACACGGGGTCTGACACGACCGGCGAACGTCCCCTCTGGCGGTGACGTGTGCAGTGGGCAGATCCCCTGGCTCAGGCAGCTGCCCTGGGGAGACGCAGGTCCCCTGGACCAGGGCGCCGGGTGCGTGCCCTTGGTTGTCCTGTCACAGCCGTGTGCTCCGAACGGGAGGCCCCGTCTTGGCTGGGACGCTGCAGGTTTGCAGTGAATAACGAGCTTTTCGCTTTTCACTCCATCACAGGGCAGAAGCATAAAAAATAGTCCTTTGCACTAACTAACCCCACGGAGTGTGCAGGAAATGCCGCGTCTGCTCCCCAGCAAAGCAGGGCCATCCTGGTCTCTGCTCCTTTCCAAAAGCACTTTCCTCCCAGCCCCCGAGGCCCACAGGGCCCACGAGAGGCACCGACGTCCCTGTCAGACCCACAGCCCAGACGCCCCCTCTGTCCTTCCCTGGGTGACAGCGGGCACAGTCCAGGTGGCTTGCCTGCAGTCAGGTGTCCCGACCCTACTGTTAGGGGCCCGAGACCCTGTCCACTCAACACCCCCGCATGGCTCCGGGCTGATGGCAAAGGACCTGGCGCCTGGTGCACGGCCCTCGCCCTGTCTGTCTGTCTGTTTTTTGTCTGTGAGTCTGTGCCGTTGGCGGAGACTGACCCACTGCCGTCTGCACCCCCAGAGACCCTGCAGCAGTGCTGCGACCTCTCGCAGCTGTGGTTCCGCGAGTTCTTCCTGGAGCTCACCATGGGGCGGCGCATCCAGTTCCCCATCGAGATGTCCATGCCCTGGATCCTGACCGACCACATCCTGGAGACCAAGGAGGCGTCCATGATGGAGTGAGTGCCCCGGGCCCTGTGGGCTGCGCTCGTGGTGACCGGTTGGCTTTGGGGAGGTGAGAGGTGGAGGCAGGGCTGGGCTGTTCTCAGTGCTTAATTAGATGCCGTGATTCTAGGGGAGAGACGAAGAGTCATACAAGGGACAGGTTTCTTGTCTTTTTTTTTTTTTTAAGGTTTTTATTGATTTCAGAGAAGTTGGGAGAGGGAGTGAGAGAGAAACATCAATGATGAGAGAGAATCATCAACCAGCTGCCTCCTGCACGCCCCCCACTGGGTATCCAGCCCTCAACCTGGGCATGTGCCCGAACCAGGAATCGAACTGTGACTTCCTGGTTCATAGGTCAACACTCAGCCACTGAGTCATGCCAGCCGGGCAAAAATAATATACTGTTAAAAATAAAAAAAGTCCTCATTGCTGTGTTTATTAAAAAAAAACTTACTGGCCTGGTGCACAAATTCGTGCATGGGTATGGTCCCTAGGCCTGGCCAGCGATCAGGGCCAATCTGTGAGGCAACCAGTGGGGCAATCAGGCCCCCGCTCACACTCATCCTGGCTGGCCTGGCACTGCCCACTCGCTGGCCCCACCCCCGCTGCTGCCGCCAGTCACACCTCTCTGCAGGGAAACTGGCAGGGTGATGGGGGTTGCCCCCCACTGGCACCCGCCTTGGTTGGCAGCCTGGCACCGCCGCCACTGCCACTGGCTGTGGGCAGCTCCTGGGTTGACCCTCTGCCCCCTGGTGGTCAGTGCAGATCATAGCGACCAGTCATTCCGCCGTTCGGTCGATTTGCATATTAGCCTTTTATTACATAGGATAGGATGCTACATCCTTGTGGCAAAAACCTATGAAACAGGATCAGGGAGACGGTGCAGCTGCTGGAGGCCTGTGACTTGGGCGTGGCCCATGCGGTGGGTTCACTGCCCAGGCTGCTCCCTCAGGGCCTCGCAGGAGCCGAGCCTGGCATTCAAAGGGATTGGTTTTCCTCGTGAGAGGAGAGCAGAGCAGAGCAGAGCAGAGCGGGGTAGTTCTCGGGTCCGGGGAAGCGGCGTGTGCGAGGCTGGCTGACCGCTCCCTGCAGGTATGTCCTCTACTCCCTGGACCTTTACAACGACAGCGCCCACTACGCCCTCACCCGGTTCAACAAGCAGTTTCTCTACGACGAAATCGAGGCAGAGGTGAGTTCCCAGGCACCTGGAGCGAGCTCTTCCATGTTCTTTGTCTGGGGGTCGGAGGAAGCAAACCTTCCCTCTAACACAATGAGGGTTAAACAGAGCAACGATGTCTGACATGGATATTTGGCGTCAGCCCTCTGTCTGCACCTCTCTGTGCGGCTGCTCCGTCACAGCAGGAGCTGGAGGGGATGAGCCGGTCCTCCCGGCAGCTCGCCCGTGTGACGGCGCGGACACGTGCACGCGCTGCCTGTGCTACAGACACAGCGATGGCCTCCCGTGTGCGTCCTCCCAACAAGAGCCCCTGTCAGTTGCCGTAGCAGTTTGCGTCCTTTGCATCCCCGGCCATATTTACTGTGAAACTGGAAGTGCAAACCTTCTGACCACCTTCCCCTGTGCCTCTGGCAACCCCCACTCACTTTTCTACATTTGAGTGTGTGGTTTTGTTAAGATTACACACACGTGAGACCATACAGTGCTTGTCTCTGTCCAGTTATTTCACTTAGCCTGATGCCCTCAACGTCCATCCATGTTGCTACAGGGTGTGGCAAAAGTAGGTTTACCGTTGTCGTATGGAAAATAATACAATTAACAAAGAATAATAATACAAGAATAAACTGCGCACACAACACTGTGATGATGACCAGAGAGAAGGGGTGGGGGCAGGAAGAACAGGGAAAAGGGGGGTAAATGGTGATGGAAGGAGACTTGACTTGGGGTGGGGACCACAATACAATAGACAGATGACGTATGATAGACTATCCGTCTGGAACCTGTATAATTTTACTAACAAATGTCACTCCAATAAATTCAATAACACAATAAATTCTGTGTTTCGTGTATTCACAGCTGTAAACCTACTTTTGCCCCACCCTGAATAGATCAAAGGTGTTATCTGATCTCCGTTTAGGGAATGAAATGTGATGTCTGCTTTATTCTTCTTCAGGTGAACCTGTGCTTTGACCAGTTTGTTTACAAGTTGGCTGACCAGATATTTGCATATTATAAGGTGATGGCTGGAAGGTGAGTGTGTTCTGTGGTTTGGGGAAGGGACATGGGTAACTCGATCTGATATTCGCATTGAAATTCAGAGCCTGTGAGCCATGCCCTCCCTTCCTTCCTTCCCAGTTTGCTTCTGGACAAACGGTTAAGATCCGAATGCAAGAACCAGGGGGCCACCATCCACCTCCCGCCCTCCAACCGCTACGAGACGCTGCTCAAGCAGAGGCACGTGCAGGTGAGGCCCGGCCCGCACGGCCTGGACCGGCGTCTGAAACGGGGAGGTTTCCTTGGCGTCCGCGGGATCTGAATAGGAGTCCGTGTGTCAGGTGACTGGGAACTTCCTTATAAAGTGTTTCCAGTTTAAAGGAAACGGTTTCTGTTGGAGGGAAGACTTGCAGCGCTGTGCACCAGGCCCCGCCCGGATTCCTTTTTTTTTTTTTAATTATCTTTTTAATGATTTTTAGAGAGAGAAAGGGAGAGGGGGAGAAAGAGACACACACTGATGTTGGAGCGAAACATGTTTAAATGTTGTGCATTATGTCTTCCTCTTCCAGTTTCCAGAGGGGACGTGTGCATATATTGTTCTAGCAGTTCACGCTCTCCGCCCTCTCACCCCCAGCTCCTGGGCAGGTCCATAGACCTCAATCGCCTGATCACCCAGCGCGTCTCGGTGGCCGTGTACAAGTCCCTGGAACTGGCTATCGGACGGTTTGAGAGTGAAGACCTGACCTCCATCGTGGTGAGTGCCCTTTCTTCCCTCAGGCTCGGCCCAGCATTGGATACAAGCCCCAAGGATTGTAGCTGATTTTATTTTCATCCTTATCGATACATGGAACCAATGATACGTTCAGTGTTTTGTCCAGAAATCAAAACATAGGCACTAATTAAGCTTGGCCTTCTTTTACCAGAGAATTCTTCTAAAGAGAATTCCATATGGTAGATAGACAACAGAGGTCCAACATACACATCATACATATCATATGGTCCCTGAAGAAGAAAACCAAAGCAACAGCATTTAAAAATTTCTTAATATGTTTTTATTGGTGAGAGAGAGAGAGAGAGAGAGAGAGAGAAACATAGATGTCAGAGAGAAATATTGACCAGCTGCCTCCTGCAACTCCCCACACTGGGAATCGAGCCCACAACCTGGGCATGTGCCCTGACCAGGAATCAAACTGTGCGTGACCTCCTAGTTCCTAGGTCGATGCTCAATCACTGGGCCCCGCGGCCAGGCAGGAGGGGCATGAGAAACCTGGGCGTGAGAAACCCACTCCTGGTGCCTGGCAGACCCTGCCTCACGCATTCTCGTCCAGCTCGCTGACCACACCCGGTGTGTCGGCTCCGTCCGCCCCCCCATGGCGCCGCCCCGTGGGGAGTGGGTGCCGCTGTCTGGGCCCCGTTCCGTCCTCACTCCCGTCCTGTGTTCACGCAGGAGCTGGACGGCCTCTTGGAAATCAACCGCATGACACACCAGCTGCTGAGCAGGTACCTGTCGCTGGACAGCTTCGACGCCATGTTCCGGGAGGCCAACCACAACGTGTCCGCGCCTTATGGGAGGATCACCCTGCACGTCTTCTGGGAGCTCAACTACGACTTCCTGCCCAACTACTGCTACAACGGCTCCACCAACCGGTGAGCCCCTCCAGGCGGTCCCGGGGCCCCACCCAGGGCTCTGAGCTGGTCAGGCCAGGCTCCACCAGGTCCTTGGTCGTGTCCTCGCTGCCCACGGGCCAGGCTCCACCAGGTCCTCTGCCGAGTCCTCGCTGCCCACGGGCCAGGCCCCACCAGGTCCTCGGTCGTGTCCTCGCTGCCCACGGGCCAGGCTCCACCAGGTCCTGGGTCGTGTCCTCGCTGCCCACGGGCCAGGCCCCACCAGGTCCTCGGCCGTGTCCTCGCTGCCCACGGGCCAGGCCCCAGCAGGTCCTCGGTCGTGTCCTCGCTGCCCACGGGCCAGGCCCCAGCAGGTCCTCGGTCGTGTCCTCGCTGCCCACGGGCCAGGCCCCACCAGGTCCTTGGTCGTGTCCTCGCTGCCCACGGGCCAGGCTCTCCTGGTTCGGAGGCTGTTTGCTGGGCTCCCTGATGCTCTTCGTTTCTGACTCTGGGCACAGTTACCAGCCTTCACAGAACTTGTATCTCGTGCATGTTCAAGTTTAGATTTCTTTGAGTTTTTCTATGATTATTATTTCAGTTAATTAGCAGAAAGATTTAACTGATGTTTAATGGAAAAATTATGAATATTTGAAAGTCATTACATTTTCCTTTTCCTTGTTCTTATTTAGATTTGTTCGGACAGTGTTACCATTTTCCCAAGAATTTCAAAGAGACAAACAGCCAAATGCTCAGCCACAGTATTTGCATGGGTCCAAGGTAGGCTTTCTGTGTGTGTGTGTGATGATCGTTAAGTTCACTGTTTAGCATATTTTGAAGTTTCATTTAAATCAGTTCAGTTACAATGGTTTAACTCTATCATGCCAGGTATAAAATGTTATTGTTTTATTGATTGGTTGATTTTTAGAAAGTGAGGGAGGGAGAGAGAGAGAAACATTGGAGGGTCAATCCGGTGCCCCCTGCATGCCCCTGAGCCTGCAGCCCCGGCCTGGCCCTGACCAGGCCCGGGATTCGAATAGCCAACCCTTTGGTGCACCGGACAACACCCACTGAGCCTTCCGAGACAGGGCAACACGTTATTGGGCTTTTGTTTGTTTATCTTTTCGTCCACTGGGTGCACAACTCATCTCACCACAGCTGATTTTTGCGGGGGGAGCAGGGCTGTATTTTATTGAGTCAAAAAAAAAAAATAAAACTCCAAACGTAGTGACTCAGATTACAAAAGACACACCCATAGCCCTGGCTCTGTCGGTTGCGTGTCATCTCGTGCACCGTAAGGTCACTGGTTGAGCTCCAGGCCCGGGCACATGCCAGGGTTGTGTCTCTCTCTCCCTCTTTCTTCCTCTCTCTCCAAAAAAAATCAATAAACTATTCGTAAAAAAATAATAATAACATGCTCTCTCTCCAAGGAGCATGGCCATGCCCTTCCCATCCCCCCTCACCTTCCCCCTCAGGCATGGATCTCCTAAACTCCGAGGGATCTCCCAGGTCTCGCACCTGGGGGAGCAGTGGGCAGCGGCAGGTCGTCCTGGACCCCCCGAACCTGACTCTAAGGCCCCCTTTGCTCTGACTTCTCAGGGAACCACGGCAGCCCAGGCCGGGCTCTCCTTTTGCTTCTTCTCGGCCAGTGATGGCGAACCTATGACACACGTGTCAGAGGTGACACGCGAACTCATTTTTTTGGTTGATTTTTCTTGGTTCAATGGCATTTAAATATATAAAATAAATATCAAACATATAAATCTTTGTGTTACTATGGTTGCAAAGATCAAAAAATGTCTATATGTGACACGGCACCAGAGTTAAGTTAGGGTTTTTCAAAATGCTGACACGCCGAGCTCAAAAGGTTCGCCATCACTGCTCTAGGCTCTTCCTTGTTTCATTGTTCTAAATGTGTTTTTGCTGCAGTCAACAAATTCTTGCCTTTCTAGCAAAAAAAAAAAAGATACACCCACTGGAAATAGCACGGGGGGTTAATGGCAGCTCCTCAGGGAGGGCCGGGCGCGGCCGGCTTCCTCTTCCGCACGCCCTCTGTGATGTGTGTGCCCTCTGTGATGTGTGTGTTTGTGCTGCTCCCTTTGAAGTGGTGTCCCCTGTGGGCTGCGCAGCCCTGGGCTCTGTGGTCGGAAGCTCAGGGCTGAGATTTGGGCAGGACGTCCTCCTCGAAGGTGCGGAGAGGAGCCTGTTCACAGAATGACACAAAGGGGCCTCTTCAGGCCGTTTCAGCTGAGAGAGAAACAGTGCGTGCCCGTGGGGCCGGCCGGGAGAGTATTGGGTGAGAGGGAAGCCGGGTCGGCCGATGTAGGAGCGGCCTGGATCCGAGGACACGTGGGGTTTCGGGGGGAAAGGGAGGCTGCTCCTACCTGCTGCGCGGCCCGCAGCGCGGTTATCGCACCGAGGAGCCCGTGGGAAAGAGGAACTGGGCGCCGAGCTGGCTTTCCTGGTCGGGGTCCTCACTTCCTCCTGCCCCGGCGTCTGAGGGGTTGAGGAGGAGCCAGAAGCCTGGCCTTTGAAGGGAGGGCGTTCTGGGACTGACCCCAGATCTGCGCAGCCTGGGGGCGGGGGGCCATGCCATCTCAAGGGGGAGATTCATGGGGTTGGTTCTGAGAGAGGCTCCCCACAGCTCGGTTCTGTCAGTCCTGCTGCCCAGAGGCGTCACCTCGCGTGGGGCCACCTTGTGAAGGCGTCGCGAGAGGTCTCATGCGGCGGCGTCCTGTGTCCGCAGGCTCTGAACCTGGCCTACTCCAGCATCTACGGCAGCTACCGGAACTTCGTGGGGCCCCCGCACTTCCAGGTCATCTGCCGGCTGCTCGGCTACCAGGGCATCGCGGTCGTCATGGAGGAGCTGCTGAAGGTCGTCAAGAGCCTGGTACTTTCCCTCGGGTGCACTTCCTCCCCCCGCCCCCCCCCCCGTGAAGGGTCCTGCCCCCACTCCAGTGGGGGGGCTTTCCCCCTCCCACGAAATGTCAGACACCCGCTGGCATGCAGCTCAGTTCCCATCAGATCCCCCCGGTTAAGGGCTCAGTCCCACAAGACTGCCCCCAGGCCCCCCAGACTCCAACCGCAGGTCCGGGCTGTGGCCTGTGCCTCCGATCCGCTGCCATCAGTCAGGGCCCCCCCCCCCCCCCCCCCCCCCCCGTTAAGTCGCTAGAGCAGCTCACGGGACTAAGGGAACTAGTTCCTCCCCAGGTGAGACACTGTCATGGCTACGTGCTCCCTGCCTCACCCGAGAGAACTCGATAAAATCTTAATCCTGAGCCCATTGTTTTCAAGACTCTTTGTTGCCCAATATCGATGTTCATGTCTTTCCATGTTTCATAAACTAATCAAGAGAAAGTTTGAAGCTCAGTTTCTGTCCATGTAATTTAAGTGCTTAACGCAGAAGCGGATGGGATTCTAAGATGACAGAATCTACACTATGGAGGTCAGGACCCAAAAGCAATTAGAATACAGAGGAGTGGGGTCGTTCCACAGCCGTGACCCATGACAGACCCCTGCCGGGACCCCAGTGTAACCTCCCTCAAAGCCGTGACCCTTGGCAGGTGGTTGGTGCCCACGGTGACCTGGTCTCTGTTCTGAACTGAGGAATCCAGAAACCAGCCTGGTGGGCTCGCTTCCTCGTGCCCGGCCCTCCCGGGGTCAGGCCTCCAGCCACACGTGTGTCCACAGCCTCCCGCTGGGAGCTGTTTCCGAGGCTGCACCCACTGGTTTACAGCCCAGAGGGTTGCCAGTTCGTCACGCCGCCCTGCGTTTTAGACCCCATGTCACTGGTCCGGTGGGCCGCCCCACCTCAGGGACGGGCCCGGCCTGTGGCTGACGCAGCCCCTGTCTCCGCAGCTGCAGGGCACCATCCTGCAGTACGTGAAGACGCTGATGGAGGTGATGCCCAAGATCTGCCGCCTGCCCCGGCACGAGTATGGCTCCCCCGGTGAGCACAGGGTCTCCCTGGACGGCGCGGGGTTGATGGGGAAAGAGGCTGTGGAGCCGAGGGGCAGTGCCCGTTGCTACACGGACCACCCCTGCGGCAGATGTTGGTGTCAGGGCGTGTGGCGTCTCCTTCCCGGGCCTGGCGGCCGTGCCAGAGGGTGTTCTGTGGGCACAGGCTGTGCCGTGGGGGCTCGGCCCTCCAACACCCCCAACTCTGCCCCCCTCTCGCCCCCAGGCATCCTGGAGTTCTTCCACCACCAGCTGAAGGACATTGTGGAGTATGCGGAGTTGAAGACCGTGTGCTTCCAGAACCTGCGGGAGGTGGGCAACGCCATCCTCTTCTGCCTGCTCATCGAACAGAGCCTGGTGAGCGAGCACCCGCCCCGCCCCAGCATGGCCATCGCCCCCGGGAAAAGAGGGCGTGGTGAGAGGCTTCGTCTGTGGGGTGACTCGGGGGGAAGGGCAGGACAGCACCGTATGGTTCATGACTCTTTAGACATTCACTTTAATTGTGTTCCCTACCCTTGAAACCCAGAGGTGCAGTGTAGTGCGTGTGAGAATGTTCTAGTGCGTGAGCCTGGTACGCAGCCACACAGGGACCCCCCCCTATGGAGCTGACCCCCCACATGGCGGGAACTGGGCGTCTCCGTGGAGAAGTCCGCGTGTACGTGGACCGCGTCGCTCACACCGCGCCGGTCAGGGTCCCCAGCCACCTTCCCCGGATGGCTCTGTCCGTCCCCTATGAACTGACTCCCTAAGGCCACCTTCTGCTCCGTCCTAGTCGCTAGAGGAAGTGTGCGACCTGCTGCACGCAGCCCCCTTCCAGAACATCCTGCCGAGGGTCCACGTGAAAGGTGAGCCCGCACCCCCCGCGGAGCCGGCGCTCTAGGAAGTTAAATAAACGGGAAAACGGAAACCGTCGAGGCTCCCTGCGATGTGGACTCTCCACATGCTTCTCAGTAGGTGGGCTGGGGGCGGGGTGTGAACCCAGAGGGGCTGGACGTTCACTTTGATTATATTTTCAAAAGTGAAGGTTGAACAGAAAGTCATTCCTGTCGCTTTGAATTAAAACATCGAAGGAGTCGGTTCTGCACATGAATTTTCAGCGATAATCTGCACGGACCATGTTCCTTTCACAGCCTTTCCTTTGTTTTCTTGTACAAACTGTGACTGCTGTGATCATTCACACCAGAGACAGAGTGTACGCTAATTCTTCCCACTGCAGAGGGAGAGAGACTCGATGCCAAAATGAAGCGACTGGAATCCAAGTACGCCCCCCTGCACCTCGTCCCTCTGATTGAGAGACTGGGGACCCCTCAGGTAAGCTGGGTCGGCCGTCGCTGTTCCTAGGGCGTCCACGTCGGGCCTGGGTGAGGCTGGGTGTGCAGGCTCTGGGGGAGCCCAGACCAGGAGGCATCAGGATGTTGGACAGGTCCGCTCGGCCCCAGGGTCTCCAGGGGGCGTTCGTAACAGGACCTGGTCACAGGGCATTTCACATTGTGAATCAGCTGCTTCCCTTGAACGTGCGTAGAACACCCCCTGGCAGGTGAGCCGTCTGCAGAGGTGTCGCCTGCTCCTGGTGTCCATCCCTCGTGAAGAAGGCTTGGTCCCGGGTGTTTAAGAACAGACAAGGGGTAGGGACGGGGGGTCCGACCGGAGGCCAGGTATCTGGGTAGAGCTCCGCGGTCCTCAGTCTGGGCACGTCACCTTTTTGGACCAGACGATGCTTTGTTGTGGGGCTTTTCTGTGACTTGTCGGCTGTGACGCAGTGTCCCTGGCCTGTGCCCATTAGCTGCTCCTAGACCTGCCCCGTGTGGTGACGATGGAAGTGTCTGCACACATTGCCGCAGTTCTCTGCAGGCACCATCGCTCTGTCCTCGTCCGTGAACCCCACTGAATCGTGTCAAACGTAGGGAATGGTCTATTTTGTTTGGTGCTTCTGCAAGTGAAGGTCATTTTCCATTAAGTCAGAAAGAAAACGGGGTTTGTTGGTTCAGCCCTTGACCTCCCGTGTGGCCCCATCACGTGCTGTCCTTCCCGCAGCAAATTGCCATAGCGAGAGAGGGGGACCTGCTGACCAAGGAGCGTCTCTGCTGCGGCCTGTCCATGTTCGAGGTCATCCTGACGCGGATCCGGACCTTCCTGGACGACCCCATCTGGCGCGGGCCTCTGCCCAGCAACGGGGTCATGCACGTGGACGAGTGTGTCGAGTTCCACAGACTGTGGAGCGCCATGCAGTTTGTGTACTGCATCCCTGTGGGCACGCACGAGTTCACGGTCGAGTAAGTGTGCGCTCCGGGCACAGGGAAGTGGGCGCTGAGCTGCTTTAAAGCTACTGAGGTGCAGTTCTCGCGTGACTCGGGGCTCAGCCTCTGGGAGTCGACCCAGGAAACTTAGGCACGTGGGTGTGCGTTCCTCCAGCGAGGGCCCCAGCCTCCTGACGTCCTTCAAGGCGGGTGTGTGACCTAAAAACAGGTTAGGAAATGGGGTCCAGAGAAACCCCAAGGGGTCTTCACCAGGAGCAGGGACACGCCACCAGCTGCCCAGTTTTCCCCGCAGATGCCTGGGTCGTGGACGTCTGGAGACAGAGACAGATGCAGGAAAGACTTTCATTGGTCTCCCATTCTGCTCATGCCTTCTTGTTTTTTAATCCTCACTTGATATTTTTCCATTCATTTTAGAGAGAGAGGAAGGGAAACTGAGAGAGAGAGAAACATCAGTAATGAGAGAGAATTGTTGATCAGCTGCCTCCTGGACACTCCTCAGTGGGGATCAAGCCCGAAATCCTGGCCTGTGCCCTGACCGGGACTGAACCCTGACCTCCTGGTTCACAGGTCGACGCTCAGCCACTGAGCCACACCGCACAGGTGCTGATAGCTTCTTGTTCGCAGGCAGTGCTTTGGCGACGGCCTGCACTGGGCCGGCTGCATGATCATCGTTCTCCTTGGGCAACAGCGGCGCTTTGCTGTCCTGGATTTCTGCTACCATCTGCTTAAAGTCCAGAAACATGATGGCAAAGACGAGATTATCAAAAACGTGGTACGTGGACAAAAGCCTGTGTCCTATGGTGAAGTTTCACAGTAGAGCATGCTTTCAGTCTATGACAACTGTTTTCTCGGGGGATGTTTTCCATCCCAGCACGTAAGGTGCCGCCGAGTGAAGCTTCCCTTTCATTCTCAAAATGAACCGTAATGAAATTGGTGAGTCAGGCAGTCCGACAGTTAAAATACCAAGTCTCCCATTTTTATCCTCTTCAGGGTTCTTAGATCTTTGTGTTAATGTGGAGCCTCACAGGACCCGCGATCAGGCCCTTGGCCTACTGCCTGGTCTCTTGGCTTCCTTTGTGGTCGTCAGAGTGTGCCTTTCGGCTGCTCTTTAGATCTTTTTATCGTTTTCATTTTCTGAAATGTTTGTCATTGAATTCTAGAAAACACTCAGACATTATCTATCTATTTGTCTACGTATCTATCTCATTTTCCCTGTGGCAGCCTTTGAAGAAGATGGTGGAGAGAATCCGCAAGTTCCAGATTCTTAATGACGAGATCATCACCGTGTTGGACAAGTACCTGAAGTCGGGCGATGGAGAGAGCACGCCCGTGGAGCACGTGCGCTGCTTCCAGCCCCCGATCCACCAGTCCCTGGCCAGCAGCTGAGGACATGCCTGTGGCTGCTCTGGGAGTCCCGGTCCCGGCTGCATCAGTAACTGTAGGGCATGTTGTCTTGTCACACGCCAGTGAGGTTTGTAGGGACTCTGTCAGTGTCCTTGTACCTGTGAAAGGGCACTTTTCGATCTGAAAGCCTAAATTTATAAAATTGACTTATTTTTCTAGCCTAAAATTGTCTATGCTTTTGGTAACTAGGAAGTTTGAGACTATTGGCTGCAAATTGCTGCCTTCCCATTCTTACAGTTATTTTCCGTTTTTCTGTGAAATGTCCAAGTGCCACCGGGGTCACCGTGTGTCCCTCAGCCAGGGATCAGTGATGTTCAGGGACTTCAGCAAGGAACATGGATAGCTAATTGTAATAAAAGTCGCTACTAATTACAGTGGAAATTAAAGATTGTTTAGCTTTTGTTAGGCCTTTTGCTAATGATCTTTTATGAATTAAAGTCATTCTTTCCTTCCCTATTTGTGTCAGTTATTTCAGAAAAGAGTGAGCTTGACTCCTCGTTTCTACTGAATCCATTTGTAACATCTAATGTGTGAGGGATGATTTAAAGGGTGTACAAATAAAAGGAATGAAACCTCCTTGCTGTCGTTCATTTACTGTGACCACCCTGTGTGTGTTGGCTTGGACAAGGCACTTCTCTGCTTATCTGGGTGCACAGACTGGGTCCTTGGAATCTGAGTCTTGCCCACCACAGCTTCGGAGGAAGAGTAAGTTATCTCTGTCTGTGGACACAGATCACTGACTCCAGGTAGGACCCACACACGTGCTACTGAAAATGCAGGGCGAGCTGTTCCCTGTGCCGCTCAACCTGAACGTGTTTTCTTGATGTGAACTGATAACCTTGGGACCTGCATTCTGATGGAGGCAGTCTCTGTCCTCAGCCCATAATGAAAGGCTAGAATCTCGGGAAAAATGACTGTGATGATTACATTGACATAACTCAGATTCCTGTGTTTTAGAAGTGTCATAAACCACACCAAAGGTAGTAAACACTTCATGGAAAACACAAGTGATTTAAGATGTTAATTGAACCTCTTGGTTATAGGTTGATGCTCAACCACTGAGCCACACTGGCCGTGCCCAATTGAGAAATTAATGGAATAGAATAGAAGATGTAATAAGAGACCCAAATCCAAAGATAAATTTTTTAAAAATATATTTTATTGATTTTTTTCAGAGAGAAAGGGAGAGGGATAGAGAGCTAGAAACATTGATGAGAGAGAAACATCGATCAGCTGCCTCCTGCACACTCCCTACTGGGTATGTGCCTGCAACCAAGGTACATGCCCTTGACCGGAATCGAACCTGGAACCCTTGAGTCCACAGGCCGGCGCTCTATCCACTGAGCCAAACTGGTTAGGGCCAAAGATAAATTTTAAAAAATATATATTTTATTGATTTTTTTACAGAGAGGAAGGGAGAGGAATAGAGTTAGAAACACCGATGAGAGAGAAACGTTCATCAGCTGTCTCCTGCACACCCCCTGCCCGCAACTAACGTACATGCGTGTACTTACTACACAAACCTCACAGGATGCTGTCAGCCAATTCCTGTGCAAAAACGATCCTCTCCTACCCTCTTGTGGCCATTCAGGGAATAACACCTTTGTGTTGCTGTCCGTGGTGCTGAAACCCCAGCTAATGTCCTGTGAACACGACCAAAAATTCTAACCAGGGCAAAAAAAACAACAAAACAAAACCAAAAAAACCCCACAAAATCATGGAGGCTGTCCAGGGCGGCAATCATTCCGTCCCTGGATGGACTGAAGCCATGAGTCTGGATTTTTTTTTTTTCATGGGTCTGGATTTTGCACCTCTTCCCGCCCCAGCCCTGCAAAGAGAGGCCTTGGCTGCTGCACTGACATCAGGAACCTGTGCGTTCACGATGTCAGTCCGTAACCTGGAGGCTGTCATTACTGAGGCGGCCAGTCCGTACAGCGAGGTGCTGGAGTGTCGCGAGACTCAGTGTTCTCGCGAGAGGCCACCGTTATTGCGGCATGCCCTACCATGGAGGCCGCCATTATTGAGGTAGTCCGTACAGGGGAAGCCGCCGCTAACGAAAACGGCCAGTACCGAACAGGACGCTCTTAATGAGGCAGCCAGTAACCTGCAGGCCGCCAGTATTGAGGCAGCCAGTACCTGGAGGCCGAAATTACGGAGGCAACTAGTAGCCTGGAGGCGGCCGTGATCGCGGCAGTCCTACCCCGAAGGCCGCCATTAATGAGGCAGTCATTCAGTACCGGGAGATGCAGCGCCGTTTGGAGACCTGGGATTTAAGGAATTTCCGTGGGTGATGATGATGGAGAGGACAAGGCGCATGATCCGGGTTTACAGAATAGAAAGTCAAGCCTCAAAGAGAGGGGCGTTACTTCTATGCACGTTTGCCAAGAACCGCAGGCCGAGAGGGCCCTGACCGGCTGTGAAGGGGCCACGCTACCGCCGAGGATCTGACGGAGAGGGCGGGTCGGGGCTTCCTGACGCGCCTTCACGTTCCCCCGCCCCCCCACCCCCTCCACCGGTGACCCATGGGTTTTCCATTTATCGCCCTTTTCCGGGGCAAGAAAAAGTGGTGGCAGGGCCGGAAGCGCGGCAGCCCTCAGGTTCGAGACGACGGCGCCGTTTAAGGCAGAGCGAGCGTCCTGGTACCATTGGAGCCGCTAGATTCTTCACCCGGGCTCCGGCCCAAATTGGAGAAAACCTACAAAGTTCTGGCGGCCTATGGAAGGGCGCTGAGGGTCGCAAAGCATAGGGGACCCATCGGAAACGCAGAGCCTCCCAGGGCCACCGGAAGCCGCGCCCCTGGGCGGGGTCAGACAGCCTCTGGGAGGAAAGAAGCGAAGCCCCGCCCCTGGGCGGAGTCAGACAGCCTCTGAGGGCCACCGGAAGCCGCGCCCCTGGGCGGGGTCAGACAGCCTCTGGGAGGAAAGAAGCGAAGCCCCGCCCCCGGGCGGGGTCAGACAGCCTCTGAGGGCCACCGGAAGCCGCGCCCCGCGGCGGAGCGCGCCTGCCATGGCTGAGCCCCGGTGCTCCGGCCCCGCTGCCCTGCGCTTAGCTGCCGCCGCCAGCTGGAGGGCCGTGCGCGGACGCTACGTGGAATACTTTCCGCGAGTGTTGGAGTTTCTGCGGTCCCTGCGCGCTGCTGCTCCCGGCTTGGTTCGCTACCGCCACCACGAGCGCCTGTGCATGGGCCTAAAGGCCAAGGTATGAGAGCCCCTGGGACCGGGAACGGGCAGAGGGGAAGGGGCGGGATGCTAGGATCAGACAAGGACAGGCCGCCTGTGGGTGGGAGCGTTGCAAAAGGGAAACCAACCCCGAAGTGGGAATTCTGAGCTCAGTCCCCTTCACAGGTGGTGGTGGACCTGATCCTCCAGGGCCGGCGTTGGGCCCACGTTCTGAATTCCTTGTATCTCCACTTTCCAGTGTCTGGACCTACTGTAGTGCGGGACCCCAAAGCTGTGAGTCATCCCTGGGACAGTCCCCACCCACAGTGAGTCCTTGGTGCCTCTAACTTGTCTGCCTTTTTACCTTCAACAGACAGAACAGGATCTGAAGATCATCTCCGAGGCACAGGAAGCCTTTCGCCAGCAGGTGAAGCTGCTGGCAGAGGCCCCTGAGGATTTGGATTGGAAGTTGCTGGTGAGACTAGCGAATTTTGGAAACTATAATGTGGCTTTCTTTTCTAGTTCTTTTCTGACCAGGTTTTTTTCTGTTGGCAGGAACTTGAACAAGAGTATGGGGAGCCCTTTCTAGCTGCCATGGAAAAGCTATTTTTTGAATACTTGTGTCGGCTGGAAAACGCACTGCCTACCCCCCACACAGAGCAGGTTTCCTAGGGCAAAACGCAGAGGGCAGAGGGCAGGGTGGTTGGATCAAGGACTGTGGTCTTCATGCTCTCTTCTTGCCCACAGCTTCAGGATGTGCTGAGCTGGATGCAGCCTGGGATTTCTATCACATCTTCTTTTGCTTTGAGCCAATATAGTGTGGACATGGGGTGGCCACTTCCAGGTACCAGGACCATCTGGAAATATTAGGAATTTGGGGGTGGAATATGTAGCCTGAGATCTTTTGAGACAGCCAGCTCATTAGAAAGATTATATGGGCTTGAGACCCAAGAAACCAGACTGAGTTTATGTGTTACTCTCTGTTCTCTTTATAAGGAACATTCTTTTCTTTTTAGAGTGCTCTGTGACTAATTCAATGAACATGTCAGAGTCCATGGAGCCCAGTCCTCCTCAGCAACCAAGATCAGCACTCCATCAACCTGTGCCAAAAAGCAACTCCGGCCCACACCTTCCTCAGAGACCAGCCTCAAGAAAGCACCCAGAACCTTTGGCTGGCCACCACTTCAATTTGGCCCCTCTAGGCCATCGAAAAACCCAGGCCCAGTGGGCATCCACGAGGGTAGGCCATAAAGAGCACCCCACAGTCATGCTATTCCCCTTTAGGAATCTGAGTTCACCAACCTAGGTCATATATCAACCCAGAACAGGAAAGAACAAGGGACACACACAGCAGTTCCAGCAGGTGATGTGGGCACGAAAGCAGCCTCTACCGGAAAGTCTCGGAGTCCATCCCAGACCCTGGGTGGAAGGACTGTGAAGGAGAACCCAGCTGACTTGTCCGCCTCGGAGCAAAAGGCGTGAGTGGAACAGTTGCTTCTGCCTCCTAGCAGCACAGTCCTTGCCTGCTTTCCCTTCATCCCCTCTTCCTTGCTTGTTCCCACCCCAGGAATTGCGGGGACTGCTCCATGGAGCCCCGGAGATTGCATACTGAGTCAGGACGGGATCAGACAGCCTCCTCTCTTGGAACTCTTGAGGGCCTGTGTTCATCTAGAAGAGTCCTTAATTCTGGTTTCCTTCTTGCAGTGTGTCCTCCATCTCTGTGCAGCCCTGTCATGACCAGAGGGGACTTGGTTTTGGACTCTGATGAGGAGGAAAATGGCCAGAGGGGTGGAATGGTGAGTAGGGAGCAACAGGAAGCGGGAAAGAAGGGGATGGGGCAGAACAGCACAGAGACCATGCTCCCTGAGTATAGAGGGCTCAGGGAATGTTTCAGATGACAGGATCTCTCTGCTCCCTTCTCTGCAGGAGTCTCTGGAAAACTATGAGAAGACAAAGTTTGACACACTAGTTCCCACCTTCTGTGAATACCTCCCCTCTCAAAGTCCCAGTGCCATGTCTGCCCCTTCCCATGACCACGTAGACTCTTCTGATAGGACCAGAATGCCATCTCATCTTGCCTGTCTCCTTCCTCCTCACCTCTGCAGGCCATTTGGTGGGGATAAAGTGGAAGCCCAGCCTTGGGTTGCTTGACTCTGTGGTCCAAATTACTTTGTAATGCTTGATCATTAAACTTTGGATTTGTTAAAACACTGTGTTGGTATGAGGGAGGGGAATTAAGGCTTCTATAAGGTCAGTGTAAATCATTCCTTAGAAACATGACTGGACTCTCCAGGACTAAAAGAATCCCTTTGCCCTTTTACTTCCCTTGGAAAGTGTTGTTCAGGTGTATCAGAAAGATTACCAGGGCTGAGAACCTGGTTGAGAAATTACCTTTTGCTATTCTGAAAATATCTGTATGACCTGATGCCAGAATATATACTCTATAAATTTTCATACTGCCAGGTTATCGGGAGGAGAGTGGTGTGGTAGCACTTGAATGGAGATGCTTCTTGGGAAAAGTACTCACTGTCCTTGACACCACTGGGTCAGTGCAACCTCCACTTTCCTGAAAAGCCAGGGCAGTAGAGGGCAACCACGTGACATGCCAGGGGACATGCCAAGTAGGGGGAGACATTTTCCTTGAAGAGCAGGTGAGCTGGGAGGTGGTGACAGGATCCCCCCTTTCCTCCACACCCTCCAAAGGGGCAGCTGTGGGGTCAGTGCCTGTGGGTGTCCTGGGATCCTGGGTGGGAGGGAAGTCTCTCTATCAGAGAAAATGAGATATGCAAGCATTTGTCTTCCAGTCACACTTGGCTCCGCCTGGTTTTGAAGCAGAGCCAGAAATTTGCGCCTGGAAGCTCAGGACTGCGGACAGAGACACAGCGGCTCTCATGTTATTTCTTGAATGGCCACAGGACGGCAGCAGAAGATCATGTTTGCACAGGAATTGGCTGAGAGTAATAAGTCTATAGATCCATAGACGTGTACACTATAATCAGTAACGTACTTGAGGACATCATATATATATTATACACGTTTTATTCTAGGGTAGTATTTGAAATAAACCGTATATGTGTAACTAGAAGTTTTTAACTAGGCACTGATATGTGAGTATATCCTATATAATAAAAGGCTAATATGATCATTGTCCCCACTGGTAGGAGTTGGACTAACTGGGAGTTAGATGTGTGCTGACCACCAGGGGGCGACAAAGAACTTGGTGGGCATCGGCGACAAGGCACTGGCAGTGGGTGGCAGTGGAGGCACTGCCGGCCCCATGGGCATCGCTCGATGAGAGCAGGAACGTGGCAGGATGGTGGAGCAGGTGAGCGGGCGGCACCAGGCCAAGGCAGGTGAGAGCAGGAGCCCTGATTGCCCTGCCAGTTGCCCCACAGATGGGCCCTGATCGCCAGCCAGGCCTAAGTACCCTTCACGTAGACAAATTTCATGCATCGGGCCTCTAATACACATATAATCATCTTTATTGGTTATAAAGGCTTAGCTCCATACATACATACACTAGTGTCTGATTAAAAATGGCACCGACAGATATATTAGCTAGATATTGTGTTCTTTTTTGTTTCATGTTTTGTTTGTTTGTTTTGTTAATTCTTACCTGAGAATATTTTTTCAGTGATTTTTAGGGAGGGGAAGAGACAGAGAGAGAAACATGCATGTGAGAGAGACACATTGATTGGTTACCTCCTGCCATTTGCCCCGACCAGGACCAGGGATCACTGGTTTAACATTTTTTGTTTGTTTTGTTGTTGTTCTTGTAGTTGCTTTTGTTGTTGTTTGTGCTGTTGGGGGTGGGGTGGGATGTGTGTGTGCCTGTTAAAGCTCAGATTCTGGGGTTTCACAGTAAAGTTACTGAATTTTTTTATTAAGATATTTTTATTAATTTCAGAAAGGAAAGGAGAGGGGGTGAGAGAGAAAAACATTAATGATAAGAGAGAATCACTGATCGGCTGCCTCCTGCACGCCCCCCACTGGGGATCGAGCCCACAATTCAGGCATGTGCCCTTGACTGGAATTGAACCCGGGACCCTTCAGGCCGCAGGCTGACGCTCTATCCACTGAGCTAAACCAGCCGGGGCAAAGTTACTGAATTTTAATAAGAACTAAGGAAAAGTTTGTGCACACTCTCACCTTTGAGAATCACAGCTTTATGGTAATAGTCTGCTATAAATTTTATTCAGAATGTAAAAAACAACAACCTGCAATTATTCCCGGATTCTTCCTACCAAATGGGTCCTAACCTGAGCCCCACCCCGCCCCAAGTTCTTGACCTCACCGCTGTTCCCCACTGGCGAGGGCCCTCTGGCCTCACTGCAGTACCCGCCGACCCAGCCAGCAATTAGTCCAGCCCTCCTGCGTTCCCAAACACACCCCGCCCACAGCCCTGGTCCAGCCTATGCCTGTTGTCTGCCACCCCCGAATGTCTAATATCTGGTCGATTCCCGCCTCCAGCACTTGGTCCCGCCCAGAGCCCTGGTTCAGCCTATCGGCGTTGTCTGCCACCTCCGGATATCCGAGATCAGATCTAGTCCCGCCCCGTAACGCTTGGTCCCGCCTATAGCCCTGGACCAGCCTATCCGCGTTGTTGCATACCAATTTGTTCCCGCCCATTCCATTCTTCCAACCTATCGGTGCTGACTGGAAGCACCGGATATCCGAACTCTGGCTTAGTCCCGCCTTCACCTATTGGTCCCGCCTATAGCCCTTGTCTAGCCTATCCGCGTTGTCTGCCACCCCAGAATATCCGGCATCAGGTCTAGTCCCGCCCACTAGTACTTGGTTCCGCCTAAAGCCCTGGTCCAGCCTATCGGCATTGTCCGACACCACACACATACGGGATCGGCCTTAGCCGTGCCCCAGCTCTTAGCCCCGCCGCACTTGGTCCCGCCTCTCCGCGTTTCCAAATACTCCTGGCTTCCGGGTCCAGCTATAGCCCCGCCCCTGGCCCGCTGAGTGACGGCTTCCGTATGGGATCTCTAAGGTCGCTGCTTAAAGTGCAGTTTCACACACTGACCCCGCGTTGGCGTTCGCATTGTAAGCAGCAAATACAGGTGATTTTGATCACTTGGTAGGGAACGTTATCTTACAAAATATTGCCTGCTGCACTTCTCCCCTCGGCACGCCCATTCCCCCCAAGCCCGCTAATCAGGGCCTGGTAACAAAACCGGAAGTCGACATGACAGCCCGCGGGTGCGGGAGGGGTTTCGCCGCCCTGTACTGAGTCTGCGCGTGCCGCCCCTGCGTCATTCGACCGCGACCAGGTTTTGCTCTTCCGCTTGGCGCGGTCCCTGGTCCCGGCGGGAGGTTGCCGGACTGGGCTCGCAGCTCCCAATGGACGGCGACGGAGGCGCTGGCCGCGCGAGCGCAGGGGAGGTCGGCCCCCTCGGCCTGTGTGACAGTGTGAGCGGCGGTGACCGGAGCGGAAGCCCGCTGCGCGGTCGGCCAGCCCACGGAGTGAGTCCGCCACTCGGTTTCCCTTTGAGGCGGGTGCGGGCGGGCCTTCCCGTCTCGGATCTGGACACCGTGGCCCCTGTCGGCCCCGGGCCTCAGGTGTCGCTCCCGGGACAATGCCTTCCAGCAGTTGCCCTCACAGCCGCATCCTCCCAGCCCGCTCTCCCTGCCCCTTCGCTTCCAACTCTCCTGCCCACTCCCCTTCTCTCCTCTCGTCTCCCTCCTTCGACCGCGCATCTGCGTTCTGGGTGGCGCTGGAGAGGCGCGCGCAGGGCGGGGGGTGGCGGGGACCCTGGTTACCGAAGGGCCCGGGCACAGGGAGCGTGTGTTTTAGAGGAATCAGCGTGGTCCCTGGGCTTCCTGTCTTTTCTCCATCCCAAGCCCGCACCGCGCGCACACATAGCGTAACAGACGCGGAGGTCATCCTGCCATCTGGCGCACCCCGAATTTGGCGACTGAGTTCGGGAAGCGACGGCGTGTCCGTGTCGTGTCATCGCGGGTGTAGGT